TCCCTACAAGACTTATCCCAACATATTATATATATATATATGTCTGTCTCCCATACTAGACTATAAACTCCATGAGGGCAGGAACTTTATTTTTGTTCACGGCTGTAACCCTGGTATATAGAACAGTGCCAGCACCTGGTACATGCTCAACAAATAAAGATTATTAAAGGGTTACTCATGACAGCTCTCTACCCTCTGAAGGTATTACTAGTGATAAGTTATAATAATTGGGGCAGGTAACATTAATAATAATAGCAACTACCATTTATTGAATGCTGTATGTGGAAGCACTGTGCTAGTAACGTACATACCTGATCTCATTTAATTGCGACAGTTCTATAGAGGAGGTATTACTATCCCATTATACAGATGAACTGACGTTCAAAGACATTAAGTAATTAGCTCAAGAATACGCAACCCGAAAGTGAAACAGTTGCAACCTGAACCCTAGTTCTGTCCCAGATCTAAAATTGGATAGTCGATGGGCTGTGGATCAGAATCCATATAAGAACACTCCATGGTTCTTGAATTCCTCCCTCACAAATCAAGATTCCCTTAATTATAAATGGGCCATTTTCTGATTCAGGTAATATACAGGGGCCTCTCTGAGCAACATAAGACACCCTGTTGGGAGTCAGAGGGGCATAACTCCAACATGACAGTAGCAAGCTGTGTGCTGCCCTGTTGGTCAAGGTGGGGTACCCGCCCCCCCCACCCCACCTCCGTGCTCTCTTGCGTCCCAGTGGGAAGGGGGCCTTCACTCACACTGGGGTTCTCATCCTCATCATACTCATCCATGTGGTAGGTCCTGTAGCCCTCCTCTGCTGAATCCCAGAACCATTTAATGGTGCTTCCTCTAGAGGACAGGTAGGGGCTGTCGGAGAAGAACATGGCAGTGGGATCACCCACTCCATAGAGCTTCAGCGGCTTCTGGTCTGGTTTTCTGGAGCCTTCTCTTTCCAGACCATCCCCACGGTTACTGTGCAGGCCCTGTGTGGAGACTGAACCCGGAGAGGTGGTAGGTGTCCCGGAGTCCTTCTGAGGGAGTGTGAACATCTGCAGAAAGACAAAAGCACTCAGTGCCTGATCTGATCAAGGGCTTTCATAGCACCAAGCAACAAAAATGAACTGGGAGTCACGGGGCCCTCCCCCTTCTCTATCTGCCCCTTCCTTCAAGTTTATATACTCATCACTTCCTGCGTCCCTTACTAGTTGTAACCATGTGTGCAATCGCTTCAAGGCATCAACTCTGCTAAGGATCTACAGACAGGGGCTGTACTTGCTACTTTTCTACAACTTTAATAAATGGCTGCTTCAGCTTGTTTTACTTTTGTGGAAGTTTTTCATTCTGCAGCCTGAAGAGGCACCAGCTTCTTTTTCCATTCTTGCCGACGTCAATTTCAAAAAGCCAAGTTAAAATTTTCTGACTTAAAGTAGAAAGCGCCTGGAGTCCAGGGGTCTTGTGGTGACTGTTGCGAATAGGAGTAAAGGATAAAATGAGATTATCTGGTTGTTTCGAGGTGATGATGGGTGGGGCCTGAGAAGAAGGAAGTGGGGTTCCCACAAGTGCAAGTGCACGACCCTGAGCAGAGCCCAAGGCCCCACCCTCGCTCCCTCCCGAAGTGGGGGAGGCGTGGCCGCTGGGAGGGGCTGGTCTCATCCTGCGTTCAGACGTGAACTCCTCCACTTTCTAAGCCAGTGTCCTCGCGGGCACAGTGGGTGTAGCCGTAACTACCTCATAGGGTAGCAGTGAGGACATAAATATATGAGTTAGTGTAAATGGCTTAGAACAAATCCTGGCTTATGGCCAAACTTCAGTAAAATACGTTATTATAACTCCTCGCCGCTTTCCCCAGTCCAGATGCACAAGCCCCAAACACCAAATGATGGGGGACCAACCAGCGGCCCAGAAACCCAGGGGGCTCCTCGGTTAAATTTTGCTCCACTAAGTCTTTTCTGGGGTCTCCCAGAAGAGAGGAGGCTCTTTCCAGCCTCACCTCGCCCCCCCACCCCCCGCCGCCCATCCTATGCTTGGGCCCTCGGCAGGACAGAGGGGCTGAGGTGGGGTGGAGGTGGGGGCCGGCCGGGCCCCGGCTCCGCGCGCGCCGTGCGGGCGCGAAGGGCGGGCTCGGGGCGTCCAGCGGGGCGGCGGCGAGTCCAGAGCCCGAAACCCGCGCGGCCGGGCCTCGGAGACCCACGAGGGGGCGGACAGGGCGGAAGGCAGGGCGCAAGACCCCTGCAGAGCGGCGAGCGCCTCGCGGGCGCCTGCTCCCGGTCTCCGGGAGGAGGAAGTTTAAGCCTGGCCGAGGGCTTCGAGACGGAAAGACCGGGACTTCTGCAGCGAGGCCTCGAGCCCGGGCAAGGGCGACCCCGTGGGCCCCCTGTTCTGCCAGGTGTGGATTGCACCTACTTGCGGAGCTGGAGGAGCCGCCGCCGGCACTCAGGGACGCGCAGTCTGTGTCCGAATCCTCGCCCGGACTCGCTCTCCGCCGCTGTGCGCAGGGCACCCGGGCCCAGGCACTCGCACTCGGGACCGTCCACGCCGGGTCGGGCTTCCCAGAAGGTTCCGGGCACAGTTCGTCAACTCGCGCCTAAGGCCGCAGGACACCCGGGTGTAGCCTGCGCACAGGGAGCGCACACGCTGCAGCACCGTGGGGCTGGGAGGGGAAGCCGCGGAAGGGGAGGGCGCCCAGGGCCAGAGCTCCGCCTGGAAGGGACGGGCCGCCCGCTGCCACCTCCGCTCTCTGTGGCCTCAGCGCCTTCCCGCCCCGGTCTCCCCGCCCTTGGCACACGGGGGCCCCTCCCTCTGCCTCCCGGCCTTAGTGTCCCCATTTAAAGGCAGAGTCACCGAAGTTACTAGACAAATGTATCCCTGGTTGCGGCCCATGGAAAAGGCTATCCGGAGTTACATTAATTCCGATTAAGGGCATCCTGAAAACATCCTTCCCCTATGAAACCTTTTGACCTGAGTTTGTAATTTCTCCTCTTTTCGTTCTACAGAACATCTGGTGAACTCTGCCTGGGACCCTGCACATTCCGGGACTTTGGCAATGAGTTAGACCACCAAGGTCCCAGGCCCGCGCCGAGCCTTTGAGTAGGAAAAGTTTCCTTTTCTCCATGAAAAGCAATGAGCAGGATCCATCAGTACAGATCTGGCTGGGAAGACTTGACTGTCTCCGGATCACTCCACTTCTTGCCTTCGCTTTGGCCTTGCCACTAACATTGTGACCTTGAGCAGCTCTCAAGACTTTTTGGTCCTCTGTGTAAAATAAGCCAGTTCTCTCCATTTAAGTCATATCATTCTATTTAATTCAGGTAAGTAGTCTTATTGAATGCCTGTGTCGTGCAAGATCTCTGCAAAGTGCTGGGATACAGTGATGGCAAAACAAACAGCGGGCCTGCATGGTTGACTGGGAAGGCAGACATACAAATGTGCTAACTAATAAGAAAGATTACTGGGTGCCTTGGAAGCATGCTGCAGGGAGATTTAACACCACTGCCCCCTTCCCTGAGACACACACATGCATTGGCCCCATACAGGAAGCCTTACACCACATTCATTCACCCTAAACACTTAGGAAGTGATGCTTGAGTCCTAGTTAGCTAGCTGGAGTGTGGGGTGTTGGAAGCAGAAGAAAGCCTTTGATAGAGCCTTGAAGGTTAGAGTCCGTGTGGAACATTGATGAACTGCAACAAGCCTAATACCGACCACCGGAGCTTGCAGGGTTCAGGAGAAAGGTTGGAGATATGATCAGGGATCAGGTCATGAATCTTAATAAATCCTGATAAGGACTGTGAACTTCTCACTGAGGGCAATGGATATATATTGTAATATCTAGAGCAAACACTTTTTAAAAAAAAATCAAAAGGTATAATTAAGAATAAATGGGATACCAAATAATGCCTGATTAATTCAAAAGGCATGCGGGAAGGAAAAAATGAACAAAGAGCATATGGCACAAATAGAAGACCAATAGCAAGATAATTGACTTAAGTACAACCATATCAATAATTACATTAAATTAATGACCAAAGACCAGTTAAAAGATCATCAGACTGAATAAAATGGTAAGATTAAGAATATGGTGTTTCGGCTTCCCTGGTGGCGCAGTGGTTGGGAGTCCGCCTGCCGATGCAGGGGACACGGGTTCGTGCCCCTGTCCGGGAGGATCCCACATGCCGCGGAGCAGCTGGGCCCGTGAGCCATGGCCACTGAGCCTGTGCGTCCGGAGCCTGTGCTCCGCAACGGGAGAGGCCACAACAGTGAGAGGCCCGCGTACCAAAAAAAAAAAAAAATCTGACAAAAATTGAACCCTCATTCATGGTAAATCTCTCAGCAAACTAGGAATTGAAGGAAATCCTTCTATCTGGTAAAGGCAGTATGAAAAATACGTCCAGTACTTAAGAATGAGAGACAGAACCCAATCCTGCTAAGATTGAGAACAAGGCAAGAATATCCTCTCTTACTTCTTTTATTCAATATTATACTTGAGGTTCTAGGCCATGCAATTAGAACAGAAAAATAAGAGACATAAATATTGAAAAGAAAGAAGGAAAATCATCTTTATTCGCAGGCAACATGATTGTGTACATTGAAAATTCAATGAAATCCCCCTCCAAAACAACTAGGACTAATAAATGAATTTAGCAAGGTCTCAAGATACTGTCAGGAGATGGTTCTTCCCAGGTCTCTCATGTTTCTGCCTGTCTTGCAAGCAGAGACACTGACTGCCTTTGTTCTGGGCTGTATAGGATTATATATATGTGTGTAAGTAAATGCATATATGTACGTGCATACATGTACATGCATACATGTGTGTGTATATGTGTACATATATGTACAGTGACCAACCTTGGATGGTAGTGATAGTGTCTGCCTCCAGAGCAAAGGGTAGGTTTGTTTACTACTAAGTATATTAAAGATAATTTCTCCCTCAGGGCCAAAGTTCAGGCAGGTTTACTGCTCATTACAAAAGAATTAGGTTCCTTAAGCTTGGGTTATCCTCTCCTGCAACACACCCCATTGCATGTACAGGCATCACTTGGTCCCCTTCACTTTGCCCTATAGGAATCAGGGTTTGGGGAACCAAAAGCCAATACTGATTACTGCTATTGCTGTGAGTTAATAAGTTGTCCTTTGTCTCTGACCCAAGATTCTCATGCCTTCTGCCAGCATCCATGAAACCTGTTATTTTGCAAGTAAGGTAAAACCTCAGAGCCTTCAAAGTTCTTGATAGATATAAAATCAGTTGTCTCAATATACTAGCAACAAACAACTAAAAATGAAATTAATAATCTATACACTGAAAATAACATGAAAGGCATAATATAGTGATAAATTTGTAAGATGTGCCTGAGACCTGTACACTGAAATCTACAAAGACCTTGCTGAGAGAAATTAAAGACCTAAATAAATGGAGGGATATTCTGTGTTCCTGGATAGGAAAAAATTAAATTCTTCCCAGTCACCCATTTGAATCTTGAGTGGAAGAGAAGACAGCAATGGCCTATCGCTTCCATGGAAGGCATCGTATCTTCCTCCCAGGACAGCGCCCTGATGAGACTGGCTATGAGCTCCCGTAGCAGAGATGCCAAGAACATCTCTGGTTCCTATCTTCCCCCTCTCTTCTGGTCCCATGAGCTCCCTCATGCATCCAATGAATTCCCTTTCTGTGTCTGCTAGTCAAGTCGATTTCTAAAAAAACTTCTCTGGTGTAAAACATCTTGAAGAATCAGGCTACAAACCTACCCAAGAGAGGAAGGATGGTCCCAAACCCAAGTGACTGACCAAAGCCATTGGTGGGTGCTAACAGCTTTTCCATCATCTATAAAATGGTGGTAACCCCCACTCTGCCTATTTCACAGCATTGGTGCTCAGACTAAAGCTCAGATGTACAAAGGCTTTGAGAGAAATGCACAAGAGGTATGATTTGAACAGCTGGAAGCACTAGAGATGAAAATGGAAGACCTCAGGCTTATCACCAGAGATTCATTTTAAAATCCTTTCAAAAAGGCAAGAATGGAAAGAACTCATATTTGGAAGCAGAAACATTTGGAGTTATACCCCCCTCCTGCCACTTAGCCACTGGTGTATAAGGTGGGAGTGATTGGGAAAGGATCCTATGGGACGTTGCATCCAACACCTAGAAAATGCTCCACCAATTAGGCATCACGGTTTCCCTTCCTTTCTGATATGCCCCAGAAGTGTTCTTCACATATAACCTGCTTTAGAATTTAAAAACTAAATTTAATTTTTTAAAATAAATTTATTTATTTATTTTTGGCTGCGTTGGGTCTTCGTTGTGGTGCGCGGGCTTCTCAGTGCGGTGGCTTCTCTTGTTGCAGACCATGGGCTCTAGGCACGCGGGCTTCAGTAGCTGTGGCACATGGGCTCAGTAGTTGTGGCTCCTGGGCTCTAGAGCGCAGGCTCAGTAGTTGTGGTGCACGGGCTTAGTTGCTCTGCGGCATGTGGGATCTTCCTGGGCCAGGGCTCGAACCCATGTCCCCTGCATTGGCAGGCAGATTCTTAACCACTGCCCCACCAAGGAAGTCCTAAATTTAATTTTTAATTAAATTTAAATTAAGTGTAATCAAAAATTTAAAAATCATCTAGCTCTCAAAAGGTGATATGAAGCATGTGAATAAGAAACAAAACAGGCCTGGAATTTACAAGAATATGGAAGTTATTAGATACCAAATATAAAAGTAAACCCATCTAAATAGGGATCCAGAGAGCTCCCTTTATTCCTCTCTAGGCTTTCCCACCGGAATCGCCATAAAAGCATTTTGCACACACACAATGGCTAGCAAGACTAAAAAGATGTAAAGCTTCCAAAAATGACAGATGCTCAGCTTAGGGGGGCTGATGGTGGGGTCAAACGAGCTCATGCCTGGAGAAGCCCAGGTCACAGCTCCAGGTCAGTATACCAGCCTTCCAGATCCAAGGCTGACGTCAGGACTTCCTGAGAGTGAGACTGGCTGGAGCCGCTGGCTGGGAGGTAGACAATTCCTCCTTCTTGGCATCCTCCAGTTGCTTCACTCCCCAATCTTGCCCCTGCTCCACTAGCACCTGATGGAACTGCTGAATGGCTAGAGGGTCCAAATGGGGACAGAGAAAAATACTTAGTGGGTTTCATGTAGTCCCCAGATATAGCCAGGTCCTAGTAGACCACCACAGAGCCTCTCGTTCATGGATGCTGAACTTGAGCCTTCCCCTCTTTGGGATAGATTTCCAAGTCGACCTGCCACATCCCCCATGGCTCTTTTTGGCTTCATCATCACAGCCCCTGCCTGCCAGTTACCTTCATGACTCAGATCAAATCTTGTCACCTAGCCGATGGCCTTGGCCTCATCATTTTCTATCTGCCTCTAGTGGCCCTTCACTCAGTCTGTTTTCCACATTAGCCCGAAAGATATTTGTATAACACAAATGTTCTCTTATTCATTGCTACGTTCCCAGCAGGTAGAACAGTGACCTGCATGTGTTGAGATACAATAGATAAAATGAATGTCATGTTTCCATAACCTTCAGAGGAGAATCTAAACTCCACAGTATAGCATACAGGGACTTCTAGGTCATCTCCCTGTCTATCTCACCTAGTAGCCAGCAAGTCCCACATGGGCAGAGCTCCATTTCTTGAGAGCTTACAGTCCCAATGACCTGCTCAATGGCAGACACAGACCAGACACCCAAAAGGTATAATATACCTCAAATGCCTATCAGTTCCTGTTTACAAAGGAGCTTAAAGATATGAAAGTAGAAACAGAGGGCCTAGAAGGGCTGGAGCTATAGGCTGCTAAAGGCAAAAAAAGGACGACTCCGCTATTGCATCATACAGGAGTGGCTGGGGCATCTTGGAAGGATGCCAGGATTGGGAGGTCAGCCCCACTCACCGCTTCTTAGCAGGAGGGGCCTAGCTGCAAAGATGAGGCGGAACCAGCCAGGTTCCTTACACATGAAGGTCTTGCCATGGGACAAAATCAGCTTGTTGTCCAGGAAGCGGCAATGCAGGAGCAGCTCTTCCTCAAATGTGCATGGGTCCAGGTACTGGGGAGGACAGAGGGACAAAGCTGAGCTCAAAACCCATCAGGCAGATCTGCCCTTTAACACCTGTCTTCATTCCCAGAACTCACCTGTTTTAAGTTGATCCAGACATAGAGGCCAGAGCCACGATTGAGAAAAGGGACTTTCAATACCTTCAGTTTGTCAGTAATGTACCTGTGAGCCTCCTGCAGCCGGAAGCGATAAATGGGCAGGTACACATTGTCAACCCATTCTGGATGGGTGGAGGAAGAGGGCTGTCACACATCTCAGGGCTAAGATCTGCCAGAAGCTTCCTGACAAAATGCTCCCTACCTGGGCTCCATGCCTGCTGATTCTATCCAAGCCTGCCTGTATTATATTTGAGCTGACTTATACCCAACACACCCATTTCCACTAGGTAGGTGGAGACATTGGGCTTCTCAATAATTGTGTAGGAAAGTTCTGTTTGAGTTTACACCCTTGAGGCAAGAAGTTGAGGTGTCCCCTAAACGGGGTTGATGCTTCTGTTGTCAACTGGGCAAGTAGTAGGTACTCATAGCTCCCTTACTTCCTGCCTTAGACCCTAACAAATGGACGTTGAAGAACCTCGTCGTCGTGCTTGGGGATGTTCTTAGCCCAAATATCCTCAGCATTGGCAGCACTTTAGAACCACTTGGGAAGCTTTTAAAAGGCCTGATGGCCCAGGTTATATCCCCAGACATCTAAATCAAAATCTTCACGGATACAGCCTACACATCAGTATTTAAACTTCACAGGTAATTCCCATGTGCATCCAAGACCGGGAACCAGCGTTCAAGGAGCTGGGAATCTAGTTTCTACAAAACTATTAGAGGGCCTGGCACCATGCAGGGAGGCATCCAGCTGGATTTCTCCTACCTACCCCTTTCTCCACCCAAAGCTGAACGCACATTGTTTTCTAAACCAGATCATCTGATTACATTAGTTTGTTTCATTATATCTCCGCTTTTAATTTAAATCCTCCGGCCTGGCATCTGCTCTATTACAGGGAATTTGTAAAAGGGGCCCTTTATACCATGGCATAAAAGGGGGGAAATTCCCTCTGAAGCCAGCATTCACTTAAGATCCAAGGGGAAGGTGAATTCAGGTGCCATAGATGTAGCCACACCAACTTGCCCAAATGGCAGCTCTCCTTTGGCCACACTGGAAGATGAAGTTAAATCATATTCGAGGAATCAGGGTGTTCCTTTGTAATCTTTGCCTGAAGCAAGCCAGCTTTGGGGGAGGGAAAATTGACCTTCACATAAAGACTCATTTCTGAAGTTCCCACCTTTAAGTCCTAGAGTACAGTTGATGATCCCCTTTCCAAGCAGAGCACTGGCTACCAGATGGCCAGTGTTTTAGACCAGCACCTCCATCTTCTGTCTACACCCGGCTGCATCATCTGAGCTACAGCCTGCCCTCCTGTAAACTTCCTGTCCTGCCACTGTTAAACCCAAGACAGTGAACAGGGTCTCACTGTATTGAAGGCATGTCAGAGGCCCAAGCAGACCCAGGAATTCCCCGTGGCCACGAGGTCTGACCCTGAACAGGGCTCAGTACCTCTGTCCTGGAGCAGCTGACACAGCTTGTACTGGGTGACGCCAGAGATGCTGTGGAGGTAGCCAAAGGAGCTCACGGCAGAGGCCACCTCCCTGTTGCGGGTGTACAGAGTGCCAAAGTGGAAGCCAGAGATGCCGAAATCCTAGAGGAAGAGAAGTAGGGAAGGAAATACCCAGTTGGTCTGCCTTCTACTCCTGGATCGACTTCCTTCCCTACCCAAGGGCAGGCAGCTGGGACTCACCTTACTGGTGCCCCAGATCACATGGGTCTTGTTGGGGTCAGGCAAACTGGAGAGGAGAGAGTACAGTCAAGATTATGGAGAAATATTTGAAGGATGAAGACTTGGGGTCTATGAAGGGAAGGTGAAAGTGGCCTTGAGGGCCTTCCTAGACAGAAGGGCCTATGGGACCCAAAGTCAAGAAACAGCTGCCCCAGTTAAGCCAGGAAGTCAACAAAAGGTATCCTCGTGGAACCAGATGGGACAGCTCTCAAGTGCCCACTGAATGAAGTCCAGGGCCTGCAGCCTGGACTGTGGTCTTCCCACAGTTCCCACTCATGGTCTTCCCACAGCTGGTCCAAAGCCACCTTCTTGGCAGTTGGCTCCTACACAAGTGGGCCACCCCCCATTTCTAAAATGTGTTCACCTATTTCTTACTGCCCCACATTTGGTGAAGCTCTTCCTTCCTCCAGGCATGCTCTTCTCTTGCTTTGCCTGCTGGATCCTATCCTAGGGCCGAATACTACCCTCAAGAAAGTTCTGCTCTATTTCTATTCTTTCCCCGTGCCCTACTTCTCAAGAAGTTCCTACCCTGACCTTCGGGAGGGCTTCAACTTGACTTTTGACAATGCATATGCTACCTTTCCCTCAAGTTATCTCATGTACAAAATGGCGTTTAGAGAAGACACTTGGGAGGAAAGATGATGCTTTGCTCACTTTCACACTCCCAGTGGCTCTGAGCTCAGTTCCTGGCATGCAGCCGATTTTAAGTTGTTGGCCCATGGACTCACCCTGCAAAGTAGGAACTTCATGGTTCTCATTCCCAATTCCAGCCAAGACCAACTCACCTCTCCAGGCTCAGAACACTATGGAATGGGATGGCTTCATCAAACACAGACAGCATGTATATCTCATCTATCATCACATGTAGGTTGTACCTGCAGGTTGGGTGAAAGAGGGAGGACGATATCCAGGTTCTCCCCAATTGTTAGCTTGCTTCGTTTGATGGTCCTCTCTAGACACAGATCAGACACTCCTACTGCCCCAGCAGCCCATCCAACCCTTCCAGGAGGTGTGGCAACGTAGAAGAGGGTCTCTCCTTCACCAGAGAGGACCTTTCACCCTGACTTGGGGGTACTAGGAAGGAAGAGAACCCAAAAGACATGCATGAGAACATTCGACTTCACGCTTCAACCATCAAGCAGAGACTAGTGGGAAGGGACGGGGCATCCCAGAGAGGTCTCTTCTGGTACAGTCAGGAGCTGCCACCCAAGATCTGAATCAAAGAGGTTTATAAAGTAGGCTAAGTGCTCATGTGCTCCATCTCCTTTATTCTCCCAACAGCCCTTTAAAGCAGTACTGTTACCTCTATTTCACAGAAAGAAACTAAGTTTCTGAGACAGAAAGTTAATTCCCTCAGCCAGCAGATGTTAGAGCTGGAATGTAGACCTCCCCCAGCATTCATCCTCTTGTCCCTTGCTCTGCCATTAATTGGTCTGGATACGTTATGAAGTTTGAATACGGGTTTCTTCTAGATAGAAGAAGATTATCTACCCTAAGAGGGCTATTTCCAGACTTCAGAGATAACACGTTAACATGCTCTTAGAAATGAGACATGAAAATTCTACAGGGACTCATCTTCACCCCACAAGGTCTGAGAGGCTGTCTTCCTCGGCACCTCAAGCCAAGTAGTTTGGGAAATGGATGCGGGAAGAAAGTGCTTATGCTACAAGAGGTGGAAGAGCAACAGAACTATATGATGACTGTCATGTAGGTGTGTGCACGTGGACAAAGGCTAGAAAGGAAATGGCACAGCTTGAAGTAGTGAGCAGGTGGGTGCATTTTCCTTCATTTCAATTTCAGTTAGTTGTCCATAACTTCACAAAGTACACCACGCAGTAAGAATATTTAGGGTATATTATTTCTAGTTCTGACTCCTTGACTATGAGTGATTAGAACCCTTCTTATGGACTCCATCTAGTCTCAAGGGGGTAGAACTCATACTTCCTGGCAAATTCCAGATATTTCATCACTGAGTCTCGGGAGTAGAGGTCTCCCAGAGGACTCCGATGGTTGCTTAGCACAAGGCCTCTGACCTTTTTCCCCTAAAAAGGACCAAACATAACCAAGTGAACACAAGTCCTTCACATCTACGTCAAGTTCAGCCAAAGATCAGGTTAGGGCACCGAGTATCAAGCACCTAATCAAGACCTCAGTGGGCTCTCGGAAGAGCAACTATCATATTTTTGCCCACGAAGGGGATCAGGAAGGAGCTCTGGGGGCCGCCATAGCCAGGGCTATGGGGGACGTGCCCTGGGGCACTATCTCTTTTGAAGAAGGTGCCCACAGCATCTCGGTGAACAAGTTATACCAGAGTGCCCATACTCAGTCCCTTTCCGGGGTGGCAGTGCCCACCCTGAAGACCTGGTTCTCTCCTGACCTCAATCTTAGCCCCGAGCAGGGCTTGCTCCAACTTGTCCACAGTGAGCTGGAATGGATAGGCGCTCGCCTCAGTGACCTGGAAGACAAATGCGGCCTGAGAACCACCTATTTGGAAGCTTCCAAGCCTTGATTCCTCATTCCTATAAACTGTGAACAATCCTTTACCTTCATACCCAGGGCACTAGTCCCACATACCCTCTTTGCCCGACTTCTCCATCTTTCTCCCATAACTTATGTGGGAGAAAAGCAAGAACCCCCTACACCTTGGAAATGCCCCAAGATCATTCCATTACCTGGGTGGGCTGAGCAGGGGAAGGGGCCCCACACTGACCTGGCTCTCCAGTTGGACAGGAACCAGCTCAACTTTCGCATACAGGTGGGTACTAAAGATAAAGCCACCATAGGAGGGGGTGGGGACCAGAAAGGCCTCTGGAAGCAGACAGACAGAGCTGTTAGTCCAGGGTCTCCCAGTCAGAATGTGCCAGGACCCTCAGACCAGCAGCAACGCTACACTCAGAGAAGGTTAGTTGGGTAATCCCTCCTACTTAGGGATGAATGCTTTGGGGCACGGCCTCTATAAAAGTAATCCACTCTTCTAAACATTATTTGGGGAAACAAAACTCAAGTCTCTTCTTTGCAGGTACACTAGAGGAGAAAGGGAAGAATACTGCTATAAGTGACTTGGAATCCAGGGACTCAAGCCAGGCTTGCTGGCAGGTAGAACACGGGTCATCAGCAAGTCTTGTCAGCTCCGGACCGACACTGGAGGCTGAGGTCCACACACAGGGAGGGCTCTCATCTCTCTACATGGCTCAGGTCATGTGACCTTTGTGATCTCATGTGTTCTTTTCATCCCATCCATTCGGTCTCATTGATGGGCTGATCAAGGACCCACCCCTGCAAGTGAAATAGTCGTCTTGGTAACGAGTCTCCCATGCAGTAGGTTCATCAAGAAATCTGAGATTCTTATTTCAGATTGTTAAGAGGCATCGTTAAGAAGAAGACTGAGAACAAACCTCTCAAGCTTTATTTGGTCTAGAACTCAGTTTTTGATTTTGGTGTTTTTGTTTGTTTTTTGAGGAGATAGAGCATCTATAATGTCTAGTGTACTAGGGCTGTGTGGATTGGAGCTGAGACCAAAAGTCCAACTAATACTGTAATGAGTTGGTTCCCGTTGTCACCATCCCTGGGGCAGACCCCCTTGAGGACTGTCACATGTCCATATTAAATGGAAGCCCAAATCCCTCACTCCAGCACAAATAGTAGGAAGATGTTCTAATCAGTGCAGGAAGCACCCCGGTACTTTAGGGGAAAGGCCCTTCTCCGCCAAGGCCCAGTGCCCGTGTACTCATGCCCACATGCTGCTATTTCCCTGAGGGAACGCAGAGCCCACTGACTTACCACCTGGGTCACACAGAACCATGGCTAGTGCAGAGAAGACAGAGGAGCAGCCGTTTAGAACAACCACCTGAAGAAGAAACACAGAAGGCCGAAGTCGAAAACCAATCCTCACGTAAGAGGGATAGCTCCCCCGTCTCCCTCGCCCTGGGAGGACAGACATGAGGAGTCTCCTCAGCTAGGACCCATTGGCCTTCACTCTGCCCCGGCTCTGAGGGGCTCTGCTGGAAAGGCAGAGAGGCCCCCAAGAATATGGTCTTCCCCCAGGGTGGCAGGAAGGCTGGAAAGAGACTCACATTTTCTGGGTCGGGGCGGGCAGGTGCCTTGCAGTAGGAGGTCAGGAACCAGGCTGCTTCTTTCCGCAGGCTGTGGACAAGCCCAGAAAGACCTGTGGCTCCCAGGCCTGCCCGTGGGCTTTCCCCACGGTCTAGACTTGCGTCTTTTTGAAAGAGCAAAGCATCCAGCCTCAGGGTCCTTACAGGGTTAACAGGGGACTGAGGCTCTCAACTCCCCAGGCGACACGGATATTAACTGCAAGAGTTTGGACAAGAACTTGGGCCTTTTGAATTATAGGGCAGTGCTATCGCTATGATACCAGCCTGCCTCCTATGATATTCTGGGCTAGGCATTTTCTAGAAGTCACTGTCCCCCAAAAAACGTAGGCACCCAGCAGAGAATCTGGCACCTTGAGTCCTTCCCTGGATGAGGACAGGTGCCTGTGGACCAGGAGACCCCAGCTCTGTAAGGGGCTACTTACAATGGTTGCCCTCTCCAATCAGGATACTGCAGTAGGTCTTCATCAGTGTACAGCATGTCAGTCTGAGTCAACTGTTGATAAATAAAGCATGAGCCCAGCCAGACCAGGGATGCCCAAGAAGTTTCAGCCTGCTCCTAGGATGCATATGGGTGTTTGCCCTGCAACACAGGGCCTCCCAGAGAGAAATGGGCATATATGCTTCATGTTCCCTGGTGAACGGAGGCTTCAATCTTCTTGCCAAAGATTATACAAATAGCTATCCACTGGGAAGTGCCTGACAACTTCCCCAATCCTACATTTGATCCGGAGGCTCCCTTAGCAGCTTACCCATCATATATCCATCCAGAGAACACCTCCCAACACAGCCCAACCAGGAGGTTGGATGTGCTATTCTAGAAACTATTTCCCCACTCCCTTCCCCAAACTTCTAACTCTTATTCCTGTATCTACAGCATGCCAAAGAACATTCTAAGGGGCCTGGGCCTGAAGGTGGGTGCCAGCACAGGCCAGAACGTGGCTTACCTTTTCAGCCAGCAGATCAATACAGATCTTGTTCTCACTGGTACCAAGGTTGATGTAGCCCTGGAGATGGAAGGAATCTAAGGTCAGTCCTCTTGCCCTGCCCTACATGGACGCCTTTAACCAGGTCACAAGTACTTATGCTGGACGAGCCCAGATGGTGGTCTCCCTGCTCCAGGAGGCAAGGCAACCCATGTTTGACAACTTTAATATTAGATAAATTTCTACAAACCCTGAAGATCTCACAGCTTGCAAGTTTCCCTTTTTTCGAGCCATTTATTGGGTTGGCCAAAAAGTTTGTTTGGTTAATAAATATGTTGTTCAATAAAGTTCTTGGTGAAAATGAAAAGTGTCTTTTATTTTTACTTAAAACCAAATGAACTTTTTGGCCAGCCCAATAGATAATAATAGTTATATTATGTACCAGCTATCATTCATTGAGCTCCTATGTTCTAGACACTAGACTAAGTGCTTCCTGTGAATTGCCTTCATTCTCACAACTCCTGAGAATAAAGCTCTATTCTGATCTCTGCTTAAAGAGCGTGAAGCCCAGAAAGGTTGAATAAACTACTAGCCATGTGACCTTGGTGATGGGCAGAATGCCACCTGACTGGCCCCAGAGCCTGGATCCTTAGCCAGCACAGGCCCTGCGTGTATCCATCTCTGCTATTTCCACTTCCATGGAAGGGCCCTTCAAGTTACTGGAAGAGGTATGACCCCTCAGAGGCCAGTGGGGATACCTGACTCACTTGGCCCCCAGAAAAGCAGACGGCCACCAGCCACACGTCACTTAGATGGGAACAGAAGGAAAGGTGTGGCTCGTGTGGTCCTCCGCCCTCTGGCTGGAGAGCTGCTGTGAACCTCCCTTGCTGGGAGCCTCTTCCTGCTCCCACCACCATTAGGATAACATCCTAACAGCTCACAATGGCCTGATCCCATCCATACCTCTGTCACACCGCTCACTGTCCCTTCTCAAGCCACATGGGCCTCCTTGTCCAATCACTCCAAGCCCTTCCCACCTTAAAGCTTTCACACATGCTGTTCCTCTTGCCTGGAGGACCCCCACCCCGACTCCCACCACATGGCTGGCTTATTCAACCTTTAAAACATCCTCCCTGACCACCCAAAGCAGGCATCCCCTTAGCGCTCTTGCAAACATTATTCACATTCATTTCCCCAATGGCCGACGATATCCATCACCAGACTGAGTTCCATGAGGGTAGGTTCACTTACCACAGTGACCAGAGTGACTCCTAGTGGGTAAGAGCTGAGACAGGAGGGGAAACCAGACCCAGCTTGTCAACTTTCTTGGCCACATCACCTTACTTCCGTGTCCATCCCCTTACCTATAGAAGAAAATAGTGCCTACTTCATGGGGCTGGAAGAGTCAGTGAGAGTGCACAGTACTTGGCACAGGACTCAGTAAATCCTAGTGATGGGGCCCCTAGAGTATGTCCCCCCCCACCCTCACCAGGATGTTCTTGTCCTTGTGGTATTTGTTTCCTTGGTAGGTGTTGTAGTCCTGGAAGCTGGAGTGGTATAAGGCAGAGATGTCAGTCCCACGGTTGGACAGGTCATAGCTGATAAATGTATCTTCAAAGTCACTCCATTGGTAAAACGTCTGGCAAGTCTGCCTGGATGATTGGGCCTGCTGCCCACCTCCGACATCGACCCTAGAATCCATGGAAGCGTCAGGCGGTTGGAAGCTCCGGTCACCTGTGGCCCCAGACTGCAGGTAGTGGAGCATCTGGAACATTAAGTGACCCAGGAAGGCCTCCTGGTCCCTGACGGCCTGATTGTGCCTCTGCTTCTCCAGCGCCAGGTCCTGCTGCTGGTGCCTGGTCATCAGCTGCGTGATGTTATCCTCCACGGTCTGCCGCAAGGACAGCACCATCTCCATCAGCTGGGTGTGGATGCTACGGTTTCTGAGGGCCTGGTCCCTCATCTGGCCATAGGGCATGGAGGGCATGTCTGATGGGCCACTCATACTCTGGGTATTCCTATTGGCCTCGGCAGGCTGGCTGGAACCTGCAGAGAAAGAGAGTCCCTGCACTGCAGCAAAGGTCTGGGCCTGATCTCAGGCTGGTCACTAGTTCCTCCTACCTCTACACCTTGGTTGTAGGCCCAAATGAATTCAGGAAGAGTTACCTGCTCATTCAAGGGCAATGCCTAAGTGGCCCCAAGCCCAGATATTGGAGCACTGTACATAAATGTCATTCACATATGTTCTGGGGAAGAGCCTTAGGGACCACTTAGAGAAAAAGGGGAAACTGAACAGGTAGGCTGTGGATTCTTCAACCAGAGCAATTCCTGCTCTGCAGAGTTCTAAGTAAGAAAAGGGATTCTGCTGCTAAAAACAAAAACACCAAACCAAACCGCTGAATAAGTCATTCTGCTGGAATAGGGGTAAGTAAACTACTGCCCAAGGGCCAAACCAGCCTTCCGTTTGTTTTTGTAAATAAGGTTTTATTGGAACACAGTTGTGCTTGCTTGTTTATATATTATCTATGGCTGCTTTTGTACTTTAATGGCAGAGTTGAATAGTTGTGACACAGACCACATGGCTCACAAGGACTAATATATTTACTATCTGGCCTGTTACAGAAAACATTTGCCAGCTATTGTTCTAGAACGTCAGCCCTTCTTTTTGCCATTTTCCCCAAGTTGGCTGTACCAGATGTCCAAAGCTCCTACTTTGTGTTACTTCCTGTAAATGCCTTCAACCTGCTCCCGGTGACAGCTGCCTTGGACTTCCATCACCAGGAACCATGGTCGAGATACATGGTTCTCGAACTTTAAAGTCCACCAGAATCACTTAGAAGGTTTGTGAGGACACAAATGGCTAGTCCTCATCACTGTACTTTGTTTCAGGAGGTCTGGGGTGGGGCCTAAGAATCTGCAGTTCTAACGAAGTTCCTAGGACTATACTTTCCGAACCTCTAACTATTCAGACCAACCTTCTGTCTGAAAAGAAGCCAAAATGCTGGATAAGACTTGAGAAACACCTTTATAAAGCCTCAAAGAGTAAAAAAGAAAAAAAAGAAAAAGAAAAAAAAAATCAGATATTAAGAAGCCAGGAGGTAAGAAAATTTGAGGCTGACAGCTGCCTCTAATTCATTATAAGACAATCCTCATATCCCCAGTCACTGAGACCTCTTTTTCTAAGAATTTAGACTTACACATCTCCCACCAAATGCCATCTTCTAAGTTCTTTTTCTATGTTACATCCCTTACATTCCCCTCACATATACAAAACCTTGTCACTTCTTTTACAGGTTTGTGGCACCAGCACTTCAAAGTACTGGACACTCTGCCCAACCTCTCCAAACCATCCTTGGTCTGCCTGTGATGTTCCCATTGCAACCTATACTTCTATGTATTGACACTTAATTTTGTTACTTGTTCAGTATCTGCCCAGGTCAGACTTGGTCATCACATCCTTAGCACAGTGGCTGGCACATAGGTAACTAGTGGGAGAGGCACAACCACAAGGATGTGGCCGAGTCAGTAAAGAGATGAACCATGACTGAAGACTTTAAGCTATGGAAGACAGAGCAACAGCCAGATGAAGCCATAGGACAAAGGGGTACCAAGTCTTGACTTAGGATGTCAACATTTCATCAACAGTGATACAAAGAATTTTACTTACCACTTTTAGCAACATACTTAGAAAGAAATTGAACAAATATAAGCTCTTATTCCCAGACTCACCCTTTGTTTCAAAAGCAAAAGCTTTGCTCTGGCCCAAGCTCCATCCCCTAGAAGTAAGAGGGTCATTTCAACAGGGCTCTCAACTCTGGAGGTGAGTAGGTTCCTTTGTTTTTGCCTTCCAAAAGGTGGTACCCATCATCCTTATTGGTCTTGATGAGTGCCTGTGGGAAGGGCCAAGATGGTGGAGATGACCTCCCTTCTATGGGCAAGAAGCTGTCACCAGGGCACTTCTGCTTTCTCCCAGGCCTGGGCTGTCACATATGGAGTGTGTCTGTTCTGTTTTACCTTAATAACAAAATCAAAGATGTGACAGCTCCATAGAACAGCACATGGGCCCAGGATTTAAGTTATTCCAGGTCAAGCTGGATTAGGGAGTCTCTTGGACTTCTTATCCTGCAAGTCCTTGCTGTTACCAAGGTCCCACTACTCTGTCCCATCCACCCAGCCCTCAGCCAGGGACCCCAGGTTCACAGGAAACAGGGATCAGGATGGGGCAGGGAAGCTGGAGGCCAGGTGCCCCAACAAGCCATTGGAGGAGGGATGCTGTTTAAAGAAGGTGGAATGAGAACCTCTCCAGGCAGGCTTATGGAGCAGAAAATGGGGCCAAGGCAAGGAACTTCAAAAAGTGTATTTTCCTGGTAAATGTTTTTTCTGATAAGGAAGTGAGTATGCTTCAAGGCCAGGGGGAAAACCTAGAAGATGGATCTCTGCCAAAACTTGTCTTTTCCACAGGAAAAGTCTATTGTTATGATGTTGTTCCACAAAGGCCATAATGTCCTTAAATCTCAGCCCTAAGTTGTCTGGCTAAGTCTTTTTGGCTACATCCTTGGTTTCAGTATTTCTCATCCTTAAACCATCTACCTCCCAAACCACACTCAGGGCCCTTCTATAGAAGCAGCATCTCAGAACCAGCCCAGCTGGTGCCCTCTGACAAGAGCTGAAAGATCTTAAACAGTAGAAACTGGGAATGGGGAAAGAACATGGGAAGTGAACTAGGAGCAAGTTCGTCTCCTGTTCATTTGGGATGCCAGTACATGGGTATACCATTTATACCAGGATACTTCTGTCTCTTTTTTTAGTGCCCTACAAGCCCTTCTAGCTCTATCTTGCCCTTTGGTCTTCCTTCCCCTTGCCATGCACCAGCCGCCCCTGGAGTCTCAGTACTCTAGCCTAATTAAGATTCTTCCTTTTCAATGTAGTAATTATGATAAAGATTGTCAAGTCTTCTTTATGTGCATGGGAAGCAAGGTGTTTGGGGATACAGATGCCTAAATACAAGTTGCAAAACCGAAAACTCAGGTAAAAGCAGCTTGGAGAAGCCCAGATTCTATTCTGTAGTTGCAATTCAACAACTGTAGGATGTTGGAAGAATTATCTCCCCTGTCTGGGCATCAGTTACTCATGCAAGATGAGAAGGTACTTACCTCAGTTGAAGGTAAAATTGAAGCTCAGTGAAGACAAGGAACTTCTAGTGTCGCATAGTCGAACCAGGATTTAAACCTAAGCCCTCTGACTTTAGCCCAGAACTCCTAGAAAAAGAATGAACTTGCAGAAAACCAGCACCTACACAGACTACAGCCTGACTTCACATCACATGATGCCCCAAAAGTCTCGAGTTTTGACGTTGGATTAACTTCATCCAACAATATTGTCATCCTGTACTGTTGGTGACTCAAAGTCCCTGGACAGAAGCAAACAAATACTCTGGAAGCAGTATACCTTAGATTTTAGATTTCTCAAAAAGGATAATTCTTCAAATACGGCGTCGAGCACACAGAAAATCCAGACACATGAATAAACAGCATGAGCTAAAACCAGCACAGACAACAAAGACCAACTGGACTTGAGGTACTAGGAGTAGATTGTAAAACAATTGCTTTTCTGTTCAAGGAGACAAAGCCCAAGCCTGAAAGTTGACAAAAATTAGAAGTTACTTAAATGACAGATTTAAAGAAAACAGGAGATTCTAGATCTCCTGTTGTTAAAATACAATGATCAAAAATTTTAAACCTCAGTGGAAGGGTTTAATGGCATATTAGATACAACTAAAGAGAAAATTAGTGACCTGGAAAAAGAAGCTGAAGAAACTTTCTAGAGTGTGGCATGAAGACACAAAAGACAAAAGATATAAAATCTAAAATATACATACACACATACACATTCGCTTGGAGTCCCAAAGGAAGAGAAAATGGGGCAGAAGAGAAGCAATTTGAATAAGATGTTTTATCAGTGCCAAATAACCAGACACCAAAGCATGGCTTCAAGAAGCCCAACAAATGCAAATTGGGATAAATAAATCTATACCTATATATATATATCATGGTGAAGCTACAAAAAAAGACATCATGGTGAAGCTACAAAAAAACAAGACAAACACTTCAAAAGCAGCCAAGCAAAAAAAGAAAAAGTTATCTTAAAAGGAATAATAGATCAAAAGCTGATGTTAGCAACAGCCGAAACCTGAAGAGAGCGAAATGCTATTTTCAGTATGCTGAAAGGTAATAACTCCCAACCTAGAATCTTGTAGCCATCACAAGATCAACATTTCAATAGGTAGTGCCAATGTCTCCCCCTAGAGGGGCTGGATTTACTGCAGAGGACACTACTAATCAGAGCAAGTAGGTTTGACTTTAAAAGCTAAAACCAGCTGAGTGAAAGAGAGCAGACAAGGTACATACGGTACAGTTCTACTCACAGAATAGGCAAAAGTAATCGGTAGTGATAGAAATCAGAACAGTGGCTCCCTGGACAGGAGGTTGGGAAACTGACTGTAATGGGGTGCAGGGAACTTTCTGGGGAGATGACATGACCTATATCTTGATAGGGTGATGGTTACATGGCTATAGCCATTTGTCAAAGCTCAAAGTGTACACTTATGAATTTTACTATATTTAAGTAGGCTTTGAAAATGCAGCTGTAGCTAATTTAAGGCTCTATTAGACTATAAATAGCTAAATGAGTTTATTTCCAATGCTAGCCCTTCAAGTGTAGAGACCAGTATGGAACAGGCCCCAAGTATACAGAGGGATATTTGCATAATTAATTTACAGCAGAAAACAATGAAGAGACAGTTCTTGAGAGAGAGAGAGAATGCAAGCAGAAGCTAACTTAGTCAAGAAAAATAGGAGAAAGCACATGTATGGAAATAAAATGAACTAAAGAGTATTTTGAACTATTCTAATGGATCTGCCTAAGTCCGGAAGAAATGGATAATTCCATTTAAAATGTATTATAGTTTATTATTCCTAATTCCAGATAAGAAATAAAATCTAGGGC